TCTTGTGGTTGTAATGGCTTTCACCCCCCCATCTCATTTTCAGCTAACGCTGATTGTTTACATCGTACATTTTTTGATTCAATTTAGTTTTAGAGTGAGATACTATGAAAAAAAGTGCTGTTGAGCAAAGCAGGTCCATTCACTCCAAGAACACATCACTGACCCAAGAGTCCTTCTAGACATAATACAGTTCCCACTTCAAAAAAAAAAAAAAGATATTAAAATACTTACAGTAAAAGCTTGTCCTCTTTTCTGCATTAAAAAGAAAACTGTCTCCCACTAGCTTCTGACAGCATGTGCAAGCCAGACTGAAAATTCAGAGCTTGAGTGCTTCCCTGAGAGGAAAACCACATTGCAGTGAGACCCAGAGAGCTGCTTGAGAAATGATTCACATACGGAAGCAGGCTGGCTGCACCGGCGCCTCGGCAGTCAGCACACACACACACACACATATGCACACTTGCTTACTCAGGGGAATGACAAATATTACATTTTCATCAAAGCAAGGAGGATTTATGCAAGAAAGTAATTTGTATCCTACGTACAAAGCGCTGAGATGCTTCAAATCCTGACAGCAGATGAAGAGTTTCTTTTGGGATCCCGTCATGCCAAGGGCAGAGCTGGACACTGGGCAGAGCACAAACCCCAGGCTGGGCTGCGGGATCCAATCAAGCAAAAACATGCAGCACATACCCAGGGAGGAAGGGCAAGGAGGTGGCATAGAGAGAAGGCATTTTTCAGAGGAAAACACAGAAGCAGCTTCCAGAGGCTTTTATATCCCACAATAATAATCTCTCCCCCAGAGTGCCAGCAGTCAGAGCCAGGACACCTTACGACATTTCCCTCAAAAAAGTGGAAAAGTGTGTGTATGTGTGTGTGTGTGTGTGCAGGGAAGGAAGATACATTAAGACAGAAGTTTTTACACAAGTAAATAGAATCAGTCTTGAGTGACTTCTCTGAGCTGTCCAAAAAGGGTCAACCTGTTCTTTATTTAGAAGAGAGCAAATAAGGGACAGGAGTGAACAGTGCTCAAGAACATTCCTCTTTCTTAAGCTTTCTGAAGAGAATTTAGTGTTTGAAAACAGGAAGAAAAAGGTCAGAGATTTTAAGAGAGTTAAAGAAGGCAAAGATGGTATCAAGTTGAAGGAGACAGAGGGGATGCAAAGATAAATCAAATCCAAATTTCAAGGACAGAAACCTAAAGTGTTTAGAACTGGGCTCTTTATCTGACTGCCCAGAGAGGGGACTGGTCACACTCTGGTGTCTCTGACCAAAGACATTCACAAACTGTGACTACAGATCAGGAATTCTGCCCTGAATTGGAGAGAGGGATCTCTCCCAGCAGCATGAACCTGGTATATAAACCATGTTGATGCGACAGTAGTAACCTCTAGCAGAGAAACAGGGAAGATTTACAATATTAAAAAAGTGTTGCTGGATCTGAATAGTCCAACCTTACCTCATCCCCTGCAGCTCCTTATTCCGGGTGCCAAAGGGGCCTGAAGGGAGCTAATGTTATGCCAAGAGTAAATTTATGTTTCAGTTCAGCATTGGCACTACTCCTGTTATCCCAGAGTAACCACACCTTAAGACTGAGGCCAAGCCAAATCCCCTCTGAAGATTATGGATTTGGGATCCAACTTTCTGATATTCTTAAGAGTGAGGAACACCAGAACAAGAAACAGAGCACACGATGATTTATTTATCTCTATGTTTGGCAGGTCTCAAGCAAACATTACTAGTTTTTAGTCCCTGAACATTCAACCAGGTGCTATTCCAAGTTTGCCAACATCCAAAGCACCAATCCTTCTATCCAGCCTACTTTGCCAGCTTCCTCAGTACCCCAGGACAAACTGCAGAACTTACCCAGTCCGTATTTTCACACATTTAACATGTAGAGTTTTTGAGATTATTCTCAGCTCAGATAAGGAGGAAGTTCTTGTAGATACTTGATCTGCATGCCCTGTGTTTCTCCTCCCTGAGGAAGTGACCCTGCATTCCCTAACACATGCATAGGCAATGAGGTCACTTAGGTGGTGCAGAGACTGCAAGTCACTCCCTCTGCTGGGATAATGGACCACCTTCCAAACTGAACTGATGCAGCTGAAAGACACTGGCTCGGGGGCAAACAACTGCAGGTGCCTGGACACAGAACTCACAAAGAGGAGGGACATCAGTTGCAGAAACCTTGCTGAAAAGCTTCTTTGTCTGAAGGAAAAAACCCTTTCTGGACTGCAGCACGGTGCCTCTGCCACTGCTGGTGAGTTGGGATGGGCTCAGAGGGACAGCAGCCTTGGCAGCTCCATAGGGTTTCCTGTCCTTCGGCCAAGAGAAATAAAGAACTGACAGGAGGGGAGTGGGGAGGGAGGATGAGCTACTGTATTTCCCTCTCAAATATATTTTTGCTAGATTTGATAAATATAAACTTGACCCAAACCTAAAAATGAAATGCTTGGGCATAAGGAGACAGTCACAGCATTTACATACTTCAGCTTGGGTAGACAGCCTGGAATAGCGGTGGAGAATTTCCCCAAACCCAAGAAGACCAGACAGTATATTTGTTTATTTAGAGGTTTGCTGGTAGCACTTATGGCTATAATTATCTGATCTCTTTACTTAGACCAAAGATTTATTCAGCACAAAACCTTCTGAATTGAAAAACTGCCCTTCTGTTAAATGAACAAACAGCCCAGAAAACAAACAGCTCAAATGAGTTGCCAGGCTCATCAAGAAAGCCTGTGGCCTGTCCAGGGCCTGAACCATAATTACTTTCACACAGCCAGGGTGAGAAAACAATTTCAAGTAGCAATATAAACTTTTTAAAAGTATCTGCCAGGTTCTCACCCAGCTGGTGCATTCGGTTGACAGACGAAGTAACAGTGAACATATTGCTTGCATTCTGCTCAATCCACTCGCTCCCACAATTCTGCAACAAGGTATGGGAGAATGAGATCAAGCCTCACTAATCAATACACCTCTAAAATACTGCATTTGAGGAATTTAAAGGCTTCACGTTGCAAACTGCACTACCTGTGCAATTTCACAAGAACAAATATGGATGAGACAACTTAATGAAATGGGCAAAGGGCAGAATTTTGAGTGGCACAGCTCATTTGAGAAGCAAATGCACAGTGTGGAAAAAAGGCCTGCACAAGGAACAAGATTTTGAATATCTTTGCATTTACAGATATTTATGCCGTATTTAACTGCTTTTGTGCATGAAACAATCTTAATTACAAAGGATAGAAATTCCATAAACAAGGCCATTATGTCAATAACAATGTCTTTCTAAAGCAAGTCTCTAATTCAGTTATAAGGCTTGGAACACTGCTGTCTGGAGTTATAAAACCAAAAGTAATTACAAAGGAAAGTCTGCATCAGACAGTGGGTATTAGTGGAGTCAGGCCATGGCTTTGGGACAGCATTTACTCACTGCTTTCCTCCTTTTTGGACATAACTGATACAAACTTCTCTGTTTTCTCAGTTGCAGTGCAGATGTCGGGAAGTTGATGCCGTTAGTGGACATTTGCAGGATGAATCATGGGGCACCACTTTCCATTTCGACAAAAACAACTGCTGTTCAGTCAACAAGATGATGCTGATCAAGTGGGTGGATGCAACGAGTGAACTCCTGCAACTGCTGCCAAAAAGGCTCCACCAGCACAAGAAATCTGTGTGTGCTGACTCGGAGAACTTGGATTTATTTTTATTTCCCTGTTCTTAAGAGACTTCTCACAGTTTCATGTTCCCACTCCTACACCTGAGGGGCTCAGCCTGGCCACCAGCTTTGACCTGCCACCAGAGAAAATATTTGTTGCTGGAAAAGAGTAGATTAAATAAACTGGGGGGGAAAAGGCAGATATGTTTTATGGAACATGAAGTGCTATAGGAGACAAGAAAAACAGCTTCTTCTGGTGCCTATTGCCAAAATTTCAGAAGACCAGACAACAACTTTTAAAATTTCCAAGGGAACAGCCACTAAGACAGTCAAAAATAGAATTAGGAAACTGCCTGTTTCAAAAGTAAGAGTCTGCAAGACGTGCCAGCATTTTTCAGTATTTCTGTCATTTCTGAGAAGAACTCTGAAGAGTTAACGCACATCTATCTGAGAAAAAAATAGCCAACCCACAGAAAAAGGCAAAATGAGGAAGGAAATCTGTGTAGTGAAGGAATACTCATCATATTCCATATATTTAAAATAAAAGTCTCAGATCACTTTTGCGCACATTCATCCAGTGCTTATTTTTCTCTGCAATTTTCAAGTGTCTGCACTTCCTCAGGCATCAGATACAGCAACAAACCAAGGACAGCTTCACTGCAGTCACTCTGCTGTTCAAAATGTGGATAAATCTACACATGCAAAAAAGGTAATACTCAATGCTTGTCCCTGAAAGAGTAAAGTAAAATTTATGTGTTCTTTTTTATTTAACCAAATTTTTTTATTTCAGTGACTAAATGTAAGACTTAAAGGGAGTATCTTTATATTTTATTATTCCTCACTGTTAGTTTTCTGATATATAGGTTATAACGTGGCATTCATTAACAATTCATAGAGAATTACCATATTCAAGTAGCACAGCAAGTTTTTACTACCTACACAGGCAAAACACTGCACAGCCCTACTTGTTCCCCTTACTTATTGTCCCAGAGGGATCACATGCTGGAAAACCTTGCATTTTATCACCTAACAGGGAAGGAATTCCAACAGGTATCCATTAGAACCTCTAAGGAACCCTGAACAGAAAAGCATTTCATTAAATTTTTGCTGATCACTGACAATGCAGAGCTGCACAGGAAAATTAAGGACTAGAGAGGATGTGTGCTGGAGGCTGCCTCAGAATTAACAACCCCAACGGGATGGTGGAGGAATGTCCCACTGCTTTGAACTTTTTGGTAGGTTTAAGGGTGATGCAAATAAAAGACCTGAGGTATCAGCTTTGTTTCCAAAGGACTCACACTGGAAGTGCCTGAATGGAAGCAGAGCTGCAGGGTCTGCCCAGATGCACGGGGAGCACCACGGGGAGCACCACGGGGAGCCCAGCAGCAACAAAACTGGGGCAAACTCACCCAGGGAGCTGATGAAGCACAAGGAGTTCAAGTCTCAGGAGGTCTACAAGCCCTCTAATGTAGATCAGGATTTCAGGAAAAAAAAGGCTGTTGGTAAGGTTTGATTCCCCACACAGCAATGACTTTGAGTTTCCATCTTGTTCTTCCTCTCTGCATCTTTTACAGCTACTTGAACAGAATCAGTTGATCATTGCAGTACCTTAATAACTCATCTGTTTTACAGGTCAGGAAATGAAGGCACCTAAATTACTGACTAAATATCACAAGTTAATAAGGGTCTACAGTGCCCATTGATTTTAACTGCCATATAGTGAGCACTTTTTCAAAAGTCATGCACATTTTTATACGGAGGCACCCAGAGAATGCAGCATAAAAGTTTGGCTTTGATGATGTAATCAAATCCAGAAAAAAGAGAGAACCTAAATTAATGTTCAGCAATTCCTTCCTTCTAGACAGCTTGTATGAACAGACATGTTTGCTGCTGCTTGAACTTTTAAATCAGCTTAGCAGACTTGAGAAATTTAAAGCCTACAGCTGAAGCTGGAAGTACCCAAACACTGAGATCCTTCCAGCATTAACCACAGTGCTACAGAAGAACCATTAAGAAACAAGTAGTGGTAAAATGCAAGCAAATTCCCTTCTGAGACCCAGGTTCTGCTTTCAACACTTCTTATGAAATTATTTCCTTGGATTTCTTGGTTAGTAACCACAACCGCTTCGGATTTTAAACGCTCAGTCCAAATTTGGCATGGAATAAACCTGATAACTGAAATCAATGATAAGCACCTTTAAGTTCAGCCAAAAAAAAATAAAATCTCACTATGTGGCTCAAAAGGCAAGTGAGGACAAATATCAACTCTTTATCAGCATGAGCTCGTCCTGCAGCAGAACTCTGACATGAGAGGTGCACAGTACCTCTGGCTCTGCCATGGCAGTTGTCCCCACACACAGAAAAGAAAGTGGATGCAAATTGCTCCTCTCCTCGAGGTCCCATTTCCTTACAGGAATGGGATCCTCCCTCACCAAAAGGCAGAAGGCCTAAATGCCAAAAGCAGGAGGCACAGCAAGTGGGAGAGCAGCAGGAATAGGTGCTCAGCTTTCCATGTTTCTATAAAAGCAAGTGATAATTTTACATCTCCAGCAGATATTCAAGTAGGAGAGTAATGAAGCAAGAGAACAGATTGCATGAAAAGGAAGAAGTGCCCTATGGAGTTTGTGACCTGTTTACCATAAGTAAATAAATAAATGAAAGCAAAACAGCCCCCTGGAGAGACACAGTTTGCATGAGGGATATTAGTGAATCTGTCGTGTGGAAGCCGATAGAAACAACTGTCATTGCAGAGCAAAGGAGGATTGATTGGCCACACAACAGGAACTTGGGAAAGAAAGCAGATGTGAGAGAAGGAAAGAGGAAGATTTGGAAATCTAGGACAGCAGGAAAGTCACTGTGAGTATTACCCAACTAACACCACTGGCCTGAAGGCAGCTGAAGGTCTAGAGAGAGAAGCAGCAGTTTGGCAATGCAGAGAAATGAGAACACACAAACCAGCTCAATTTTTTCTACTCCACACTGAGTCACTCAGCAACTCTGCCTGATGCTGTGGCAAGTGGAATATCACGATTTTGGATCCTTCATTAGGATTAATTATTTCACTTGTTGACAGTATCAAAAGAAAAGCCAAGGGAGAGACATTTTTCTGTTCCTGCAGGAGCCTGCACGCTGTCCAGGGAAAGTTTGGGCTGTCCCTGTCCGTGTAACTCTCCCCTGTTCTCTGATCTGAGGACAGACTTCAACATCAATCTTACTCCTCTCAGTGCCACTAACATCCACTGTTATTAAAAATCAGAAATGTTATTTTTTTCCCCCTCTTTGATCTCATTCAAACCGTGAAAACAACAGCCTAAGCATTTTGCCCTGTTGTATCTCGGGGAGCTGGAAACCTTCTACCAGCAAGAAACTCTTCCAGCAGTTACCATGGTGACACTGGTAATAGATATTTAAAGGCAGCTCACTCATAATCACATCTATTAGATACCAGGAGGCTTTAGTAAGAGAGGCACAAAAAAGCTTGAAACCAGGGAACCAAAGAGGCTTGGTGATGGTATAAGTGGACAAGAAATTCATGGAGAGGAATCTGCTTATACCATCATTTAGCTGGACACAAAGGGCTCCTGTTCAAAGCTGAAATGGTACTGAAGCCTGCAGAACAAACTATTTTTAGTCAATCTTTTAAAAATTGGTTCTGAAAGCCTCATTTCAATAATGGCAGCTCTATAAATCCTTTCAGAGTGGTCATTGCCAGAAATACAATAAAAAGCTGTGCTACAGTTCATCCCCCATTAGAACCAGGCTGCTGGAAATCCCCTGGCCTGCCAAAGTCACCTGGAAGGGGTTTCCTCCAGCAGAGAAACCAGGCTGGCTGCAGATAATGCTGCTCTCTGTGCCCACCCCAATGTCCTGACACCACGAGCCCCAAAACAAAGCCCCAAACTCAGCTCCAAAGGGACCCTTGCCTTCCACCTGGAGGGTTAAGTAGCCCAAGGAATAGTGCCACGCTCCTTTTTAGACATTATTATGCAGTGAGGAAACCTGAATCTGGACAAAGCTCACCCAGCTGAAGAGGTGTGTTTGGTTATACAATTGTTAAATCATTTATTTCTGTTGGTTCTAGTTCTGTAGTTCCAGCCCACTGGAATGCAACGAAGGGAATCTGCAGATTCAGATCTCCAGATATGAAGCCACCTCAAGTTGGCTGAGCCTGTGTAACAGTCATCAAATTGAGATTTCCTTTCTCTTTCTGCTGCATATTTCCATGACAACTTTCCTGCAGTATCAACTTCTTTATAATGGAAAGGTCTCTCAAAGAGAATTTAGGCTTCTATAGCAACAGCTTAAATCCCTGGGAGATGATGATGCCTGAAACTTTACACAGAGCTTTTTTTGGACCACACAAGTGCATTTCAAATTTCATAGGTGAAAACAAAAGTCATGTGTAATATTAGGGAAACTGTGAAGAGGAGAAGGAGTAACTCGCTGAAGTGGAACAAACACAAAGAAACCACCTCACTTTCAAAAGGGAGGAACACTTTGAGATCTCAAACGTTAAAAGAGAGCAGACAGGATCAAACACTCATCTCAAAAAGCCACATCCTGTTCCTCCTCTCTGAGCTACAGAACACAGTCACAAGGAACAAGTCTGCTGATCCTGAAATGAGATTTTATTGAAAGACCTCTCTCTGCAGTCTATTTTATATTGACCTAAAGAAAAAAATAATACAAAAAAAAAATAATCTGTGAGTCAGAAGGCCTTTTAACTCCCATATACCTGCCATTTAGCTGCAATCTAACCTTTTTTTTCAATACTTTAGCTGTTTGCCATGGTAGTGACAGTATCCTCCAACACTGAAAGCCTTGCTGCCTCAGAAGAAAAAAAATAACTGCACTCTCAAACAAATCAACTGGTTAAACTCAAAAGCAAAGGAAAGTACAGAAGCTAAACCAGCTTTCTTTCACTGAATTTAATATATTTCACAAAATACTCCTCCAATGTGTTTGAAAAATCTAAAATCTCTTAAAGAAAAAAGATAAAATACTACATTCACAACCTGGATGAGAAGTGGGAAAGGATCATGTTTAATGTACAGGATGGAAATGAAGCCCAGCAGGACCCAGCACCCTTCCTTTTGTAGCCACTGGAAACATCTTTGCTACACAAGAAGCGAGGTTGGCAGTGGGATCACCTGAAAAACAGCCACACTTTCTTCTGCTTATGGTGATTGAGAACTTTTCCTTCTTTCCTTAAAATATCCATTAATTTGCCCCCTTTTCCTCTCATTCCCCTACATCATCACAGTTCTGGTAAGGGGAAAAAGGTGCCCACAGGTAGGAAGGAATGAAAGAGGCTGGATCTGATCTAATTCTTGTGGACTTCCACCTTCATCCACTTGCTGCCCACTTCAGAAAAGACTCTGGAACTGGCAGTTGGACAAAATAATGTTGAGTGCTGTGAAAACTTACTTTAATTTTTTTAATAGCAACGCCAAAAATGACAGCTAGAGCCTGTTCAAAGCCTGGGAACTCTGCAGCTAAGACAAATGCAAACCCAGGATTTCAGACAAACCCCGCATTATTTCCAAGGGTTACCCTGTCTGGAAGAATACTGAAGTGTGGGAGAAAGACTGAGTCACTGTAAAGGTCAAGTGAAACGCAATTATTTGGTGTCTCCATGTGCTGCCCTCTGCTGAAACAGACGCCGAGCTCGTTGGAGCAGCACAAAAACTCGGGATCATCCGCGCCCACTGCTGCCATCGCACAGGGAAGGGACACGCTCACCCGAAATGAAAATGCTCCATTTCATGGCACCAGGAAAGGATAAAAATAACTTAAGCCCTTGTGCTGGACTGAACAGCTCTAGGATGAAAGAGTGGCTTCAGGGACAGCAATCCTGGAGAGGGAAGAGGACTGGATGCATCACGACTGCAGTGATGAAGGTCCACAGGCTTAGAAAAAAGAAACAGCTGAAAGTTTCATTTGAACAACTTATTTATCAAAGATGTGTTGAACTCTCATATTCCCTCTTAAATCCTTAATCCTCCATCTGATTTCACCCACGCAAAAAAAAATCTGTTCAGGCAGATGAGATTATTCAAATACTCAAGCGCAAGTATTTGTTCGTAAGTAGAACATGGAGCAGCATGAATGGGAAAAGGAGAAAACTATTAAATATCTAAGGGTGGAAATATAACACATAATTATATAAGAGTATTTATAAATATATTTTATGTAATCTTATTTACAAAAATATTTGCACAAATATTATGTTTACAAACAAACAGTAACCCAGCATTTCCTCCAAAATCCAGGAACTGAGAAAAGCAAATCAAAGCAATATTCCAACCATACATATAGACTTTCAGGGCTGAAAATTCAAATCCAACATACCCTGTTTTCCCTTCATGCCTTTGGAAACTAGACTTTGCTGTGTGACTCCGAGATCAGCCCAGCAAGGTTATTTTGGATCAAGGAAAAGATTGAAATCTAAAGTTGAGGGCTCCTTAGGGAGATCATCCTGCCTGCAACCTCCTCTACCTTGTAAAGATCCCACTGTAGTAGATTTTAACAGCATGCTTTTCCAGGGTTTCTGACCTTAAAAAAGAGTTTAAAACCCGCCCCAAACCTCAATAAACAAGCAAAAAAAAAAAGATTAAAAAAGAGTGAGAGGGAAGAGCAGCGGGCAGGTGGCCCCGCTGGTGCAGCCAGTAGAGGGCAGTGGAATTTAGAGGAAAGTTGTTGAACTTCGTGTAATTAAACATCTGAAGTGATAAAGCCACCAGTTTACATCGTTATTTGAACCTACCTATTCTGGCCTAAACTAAGACATAAGCAGGACAGAGAGCAAAGGGTAATAGAAAAGAAAGAAAATTTATTACTTTGGGACCTTTAAAGAGTTGCACTTCGGGCTATGATGAAGGTTTCAGACTTAAAGCATCATTTAAAAGTAATTATTTAATCTTTTAAATAACTTCCAATTATTGCAATACACTAATTCAACGCATCCTATTGAAACCAACACAGCTGTTTCTCATGGGTTTAAAAACCACAGGTAACTTAAAATAGGAAAAATATCAATTAAGAAGAAAGGTGTTTGCAAGGTAGTCCCATTGCCACTTGTGAAGATGAAAACTGGTTCTAGTCCACAAGAACGAGAAAGTAAAACAGGTTAAGCAAAACGCAACACAAGAAGATTTTTAATGCTCACAGCACCTTGTTTAGGAAGGGGAAAAGCAACATTTCTCACCTCATCGCCAAACAGCACAAGCATCCCAGAGCCAAGGCTCCTGCGTGATTTGACATGAGCCCAGTTTGCATTTTGTGATGGAAAGACAGATTTTGGTTACTGTCTGAGCCCTTTCGAGACACACAGGTTCTGAAGTAACAGCGCTGCTCCACACCAGTGGAGACCAAGGTTTGCCCGGAAAGGCTTCCGAGGACATCGCGGTGCCCCGGGTGTTCGCCCCCCCGCGGGGACACGGACAGGGAGCAGCTCCGGTGCCTCGGGCTCCGGTGACGCTCGGGCGCTGCGGGGCCGAACCGCCCGCGGGTCCCGCCGCCCGCGGAGGGTCCGGGCTCGGCACAGGCGCCGTCCGCCCGCCCGTGCGGGACCTGTTGCCCTCACACACCGGACCGGCCGCGCGGGAGGACGCGGCGGCCACACCGCGACACCTCCGCGCCTCCCGCGCCCTCCCCGCGCCTCAGCCCGGGCACGGGGACTCGGTCCCGCACTGCGGCACCTCAGCCCTCCCTCAGCCCGGCGGTGCCCCGGGGAACCTTGCCGGTCCCTCGCCAGCCCTGCCAGTGCTCCGCAGCCCGAGCGGAGCCCGCAGCTGCCGTTACCCCCCGGCGCTCACCTGCCGCCGCTCCCTGGGATGCTCCCGCAGCCGGAGCCGGAGCGCAGCCCTCACTCGCCTGCAGCGGCCGCACCGGCCGCCAGGGGGCCCTCGCGCGGCGCGCCGGGTAATGTAGTCCCCGCGCTATCCGCACATCCAATCACGCTCTGCGCCGCGAAGCATGCCGGGAGTTGTAGTACTTCTCCCGCCATGCATGCTGGGAGGTGTAGTCCAGCGCGGCGGCGCCCCGGCGGCACCTTCCGGCAGCGGAACTACAACTCCCGCGAGACAACGCGCGCGGCGCGGGCGCGCCGCCGAACCCCGGCGGGTGTCCCAGGGCCGTCATGGCGGCCCCGCCGCCCTCAGTGCCGGGCGAGCCTTCGCCGCCCTCGCCGCCGCTGCAGTACAGCGTCCTGCTGGAGCACCTGGTGGGCGACAAGCGGCGGCCCCGCGCGTGGGATCCCGCCGTCTTTGGCGGCATCCCGTGCCCCCCCAAGAGCGAGGAGCAGAAGATGGTGGAGCGGGTCATGGAGAGCTGCCCCTTCAAGGCGGCGCTGGCCTGTGTGGGAGGTGCGGCGGCTGAAGCGGCCGGGGGCGGCTGGAGGGACGGGGCAGCCGCTGTGGGGCGGTTCGGGAGTGGGGTGTCCCTGTGGAATCGGGAAAGGCTGATGGAGAAGAGGCTGCAGCCCCCGCCTTTGGTTTTCCTCCTTTTAAACCTCCCCCGGTGGCTGTCACAGGTCCCGGGGAGGGATCGCTGCCTGTCTGCCTTCCTTGGAGAGGCGGAGGTGCTTTCCCAGCACAGCACAGGCTGTCAGCGGGTGTCCGCGGTACCCACAGACCGGCCACTCGTGCTCCCGCACTGCCCCCGTGGCGCTCCAGGGCTGCTCTGGAGCCCGCAGGGAATGTGCCGCTCCAATCCCTGCTCACGTTCCACTGTTTGCCTTTGACAGGGTTTGTCCTGGGAGGCGCGTTCGGGATCTTCACGGCTGGGATCGACACCAACGTGGGGTTTGATCCCAAGGATCCCTATCGCACGCCCACAGCCAAGGAGGTGCTCAAGGACATGGGGCAGAGGGGCATCTCCTACGCCAAGAACTTCGCCATCGTGGGTGCCATGTTCTCCTGCACGGAGTGCGTGGTGGAATCTGTGAGTAATAACCTCTTCAGCACTGAGAAATGTTTTATTGTGTACTTACTTAGTAATCTTGTACTAGATGCACATAAGTATGTATAATCCCTTTGAAAAGTCCTTTTCAGTTTGTCCTGAATGTATTGGGAAGTGTAGGCATTGCTTTTTTAAACCCTGGCTATAAGTAGTTTTTACTTTAAAACTCAAGTGGTGAGTTGCAGCATGGTAATTTGAGTGCCTAAAAATTCCATATGTAGAATGGGATCCTTTGATTGGAATTCTTAAGTAACAGTTAGCCTGTTTTCATCTGGCCCCTACAGCAAGAAATGAACTTGTGCAGCTCAGCAATAATCCATTTTCTTAAATAGGAAAATTGCCCTGTTATGAATTCGAGTCCTGCCTTTTAATTGAAAGACACAGCTATTTCTTAACTCACCTAAAGAAAAGTGTATCTGCTTGCACAGTGGAGCAGAACAAATTGGTCTTTACACTGATGAAAATCCAGCATGTCCTGGGTATGTAAAGAGTGCATCTTTGTCAGCAGGTGCTGTGGCTCTCACCTGTGCCAAGAACCAGCTGCTTGCCTGGGCTCAGGGCTGCACTCAGGTAGTCACAGCACTTTTAAACCCTCTAAGCAAGTGCTCTTGTTCAGTGCTATGTTCTGGGGATGTAGCAGCTCACCTGAGGATCCTTCCTGTAGCACTGCATTGCACCATATGGATTTGTCTTACCTCTCCCAGCGACCTGTTCCTTCCTCCTCTCCTGGCCCTGCAAGTTTGGGAGTGCAGGGCCATCTGCTGAGAACGGAGGGAAAAACATCCTCAGCTGAGAAGGGGCTGGAAGGTCGTTTAATCTTCCTTGCTGTCAGTGCAGATACTGAGTGTTTATTCCGTATTTACTTGTTGACTCTGATTTTCAATTCCACAGTATCGTGGGAAGTCAGACTGGAAGAACAGTGTTATCAGTGGCTGCATCACGGGAGGAGCTATCGGCTTCAGAGGTTGGTGGTGCCTGCTGGGAACTGTTTCTGTGATAAGACTTGAATTTGGTTATAGGGCACACAGTGTTCTGTGTGGAACACACACTGCAGACCTCTTTGCACGGGGACTATAGTGAATGAGGATGTGCTCCATTCTGACAGGACTGCGCCCTCATCTTCCTGTCAGCTCCAAAGATAAGTGTGGGTAGGGAAGGCTTGGTCATACAGGACAGTGAGATTGGAGGAAAATCAACAGAATTCACAAGAAGAAGAATGAGGAGATGCTGTTGGCTACCTAACATTCTTCTGTGGTGTAGTGAGGAAGAAGCCAAAAATATACAGCTCCGAAGCTACAGCTCTTGTGTTAACAGAGCTTTATTTATATCTGCTATTTCACTGGCAGTAACACTTAATTTGCTTTCCTCCTTTCTTACATATCAAACATATTTATGGAGTAGGAGCACTGGCGTTTTAGTCCAGCAGCACTAGTGGGGACTTTGGGAAGCCTTGCGTGGTAATAACATCTGGAGAAAGCCCCAAGTAGGAAGAGAGCTGCTCTGCTCATCAGAAATATCAAACTTCTCACACCTCTCCTAAAGTAAAAAGCTTGTCCATAGAGCATAAAAGAGAAGAAAGCTCTCTTGAAAGTGCTTCTAATTGAGCTTGTTAAGTTGTGTCTGTCCTCGACCTAATCCTCTTAGAGCTTTCAGAGCCGTAGCTGCTCTTCCTGTCCCTCCCTAGTCCCGCAAAGTCACTTGCAGTGCTCAGATCAGAGCACACCAAAATCAGCAGTGGCCAGTGCCGTGTTCTCTTCTGTCCCTTTGTGGAGACTGAGCAACACAGGACCCAGCCAGGGTGTCCTGCTGGTCCCACTGTGGGGGTTGTAGATCAGGCTCCCCCTCACCTTGGGCAGTGGCAGTGCTGATGTTCCCTGGAGCTGCACTGCCATGTTCCTGCAGGTGTGACCCCTTTGAGCCAGCGCAGCGTACTGGGAAGAGAAGTATTTTTCTTATTTTGCCTCATTTTCCCCCCCCTTCTTGCCTTGCAGCCGGTTTGAAGGCCGGGGTGATCGGCTGCGGGGGATTCGCCGCTTTCTCCGCTGCAGTCGACTACTACCTGCGGTAACAGCCGGATCCCTCGGGAGCAGCCTTCCCTTTAGCTCCAGTGCTGCTGCTGAGAGCCTGCACCACGGCCCAACCACCAGGCTTACCTTTCCACTGCCTCTGGAGTCCCGATGAGCGCGAGCGGGGCGGCGTTGGCCGCTTTTCTGAATGACTAACAACGCTCTGGCTCCCAGCCCGGGCGAGCTGCTCCGGGCAGACTCGCGGGAGTATGTGAGGATGGAGCCAGGGACAGAGCAGCATCTCCAGGACGGATCAGCTGACTGTCAGTTTCCAGGAAACACGCCTGGACTCTGAGCTTTTTCAATCTGATTTTGATTAAGTCTGTTGCTGGCATCAAAAGAGGCAGGAGGACAATCTCCGAGCAGAAATGCACTGATTTAGGTTACCGCGTGTTCGAACGTGCTGCAAGTGTTTAACAGTTACCAGTTTGCAGCTTGCTACTCTGTTGGGGAGAGGTAAGATCCTGTGGAGAAATAAGTTTGTTCCAGGCTTTTCTTAAAATACCATTTGAAGACAAACCACCATCTGTACAACTTGTCTTATTTCATAAGTACAGAGATGAGCGCCAGATTTCTTTACCATGTCTTAAAGGGAAAAGCAGAAAGGAATCCTTAGCCTTAGAGCCATGTGGTTACTGGCAGATGAACAAAAACAGTTTAAGGGGAGAGAAAAGAGGTTATTGCTGAAGTATAATTCTCTGTAGCCACTTGGCTAGCCTGATTTAACCTCGCTGTGGGAGTACAAAGAATTTTGCTACCGCTTTAACTGCCCCAGGCTCGCCCCATTAGTTCCAGCAGTTTGATAGTGAGACTAGAAAGCAGAGCTGTGAGACTAAATCACTCTTTAACAGATAACTGGGCATTCACTCAGCACACAGTCTGCTTCCTGTCACATCCCTGTGCCATCTCAGAGTGCCCCAGTGCTACACACTGGGGGGAGTGAAGTGTTATTCTGCAGAACATTGGTGCTGAAGGCAAAATATGTTTGGTAGCTCCAGGAGCTGCTGCCTTTGTGATTTATGCTCCTGCTCTTCTAACGAAGCTCTGTTCTCAGACCTCAGGGGGTCATTTTTAACCTTCATTGATCCACTCCAAAAAGGTAAACAGCCACCACCATCCTTTTGAGGCGGTGGGATTTCAGATACAGTGCATGCACCTAATAGAGGTTCTCCCACCCACTTCCCCTCCTTTGCATCCACAGTTTGACATCCCAGAACAGTGACAGCACGTGCTTACCTGGAGGAGCAATCCTAGCAGGGTGGTTTGGCTGATGCAGTGGTCAGTTTGGAGGCACATTGTCTCCCATTCCCACGCAGAAGTGGGGAGACAGCGCCATGTGATCTATCAGATGAGGTTTCCAGATCTCCTGATGTCCCTTGCTGTGCCTGTTCAGTATCCTCAGGCCAGAAGCTGTGCAAGTCAGCTGAATTTTAAGCTTGAGTAATTCTAGGCTGATTAAACAGGCTGGCTCCAGACAGTCCAGGTTGTTTTCCTCCAAAATGCAAGGATGTAGCCCAAACCATAGGAAATCTCTTCAAATATTGCCTGGCACACTGCCTGTGCTTATACCACTGGCTTGAAGTGCAACTAGCAAGAATTCCATGACAGAAAGAGTAGAAGCTGTGATGCCAAGGTGATCAGTTAGTGCAAACAGCAACACCACAGGGTTTCTTTTGTGCAAATATCAGGGCTTTGCATTTTTATTAACATTTTTTTTTCTCCTCACATGGTTTTACAGCCATTTAAAGTTTATAATCTACAGAAATTGAAACAGAACACAAACAAAAATATATCCTTAACAACTTTTGAAAGTCAAATATTAATTAACAGTTCTATTCTACCTGTAGCTGCAAGAGTCCACCCCCCCTCTTTTTCCTTCCTGTAGGAACAAGCAAAAGCCAGTCA